CAGATTCAGCTTGGAATGCAAAACGGAAAACTTCCAAATTCCGCATTGTCAGCTTCTTCGCAGTACAATGCGTATGCTGGACCTGAAAATGCCCGGCTTCACTTCTGTGCGGAGAGTCGCCGCTACGGGGCCTGGATAGCACAGAGAAATGACCACAATCAATATTACCAGGTTGACTTTGGAGTCGAGACACAAGTCACACGTATCGAAACCCAAGGTCGCCAAGATAAGTTACAATATGTAAAGGAATACACGCTTAGATACAGCACTGATGGATCTTACTTTAAACAGTACCAACCATCTGGATTTACCAAGGTTAGGTGTTTTTTAAAGTTGTCGCCAAACATGTTTTGCTTTTCGTAATTTCGGCAAAGTGGGATATATTGTTCCTTTCCGTCACGTTGGCGCTCCATTTCGGAGTTTCTTCTTGGAGTGTATACAGAACTACTACTGCTTGCAATATATTATTTAGCCTGTTTAAAGTTGCTTTCTATTTTTTATTTGTTAAGACATTTAAGGCAAACAGTGACCGATACACAGTGGTAGGCCATGACTTAGAAAAGCCAATTAGGGCAAGGTATTTGAGAATTGTCCCAGAAGACTGGTACAGGTACATTGCGTTTAGGGCTGAGTTTTACGGATGCAAGACAAGTAAGTTGATCTTTTTGTAATTTGTTTTTCTCAGCCCTTTTATTAAAAAATAGATTCGCAATACTTACACGTGCTGATAGAAAATTTGGAGAGAGTCATCTGTTAAGCTGGCTAGAAATATGATCTGAGAATATGAGCAAGATGCTAGCCAGTCAATGGACATGTTGCTCGATAAAAATCTCCAGGTTCTCTCGACAGGTGCTCTAACACTCTGAGTTATGCCAGACAACATAACACGGCTGTAATTATGACAGCTTTCTACTACTTCTTACACAATTTGGCTAGGATCACTTTGGAACCCAAAAAAAAGGAAAAAGAACGACAAAAAAACGCAAAAAAACGACTAAATTTACTGGACACTGTGCATTTACTTTGTAGATGACGGTGGTTATTCAGCGTGGGGAGGTTGGTCTCAGTGTTCTGTAACTTGTGGAAATGGGCGTCAGAGCCGCAGTCGTTCCTGCACTAATCCTGCCCCAAGCCCCGGTGGAAAAGACTGCTCACAACTTGGACCTGACAAGGAGAACAAAACTTGCAATGATGGAGGCTGCCCAGGTAACAATTATAACAATGATGAGAAGAATAATAAAATAAACAGGACTGACAGTTTCTTTGTCTGCAATCAAGAATCCCTGATTTGTTCCATTCTAAGTGTTCAAAAACGTGTGGAGGAGGAAAGCAAACTCGTGAGCGAACCTGCACTAATCCACCTCCAGCAAATGGTGGAAAAGACTGCACTAGCCTTGGATCGAGCATTTCAAGCAGAGAATGCGGAAACCAAGAGTGCCCTAGTAAGTGTGTTTTCCAACCTTGGGTTACAGCTGTTACCACTCTGAGAGCGCTTTCCATTCAACCAAAAATTCCGAAACTTCAAAACGAGGACAAACGGTATTGAAATTTTCTGGGATCTTTCCAGAAAATTCAGAAATCGTTGAATTTCCCAAATTCGAACCATTCGAAAGGAAATTCCGGAGATTCCGTAGGAAATTTCGGTATACCTGGCAAGGTTGTCCTCTTTACCGGAAATTGTGAAAAATGCTGTTCCATTATTATTATTCGTCACTGGAAATTTCCAGAAATTGAATCCAGAATTTTTCATCGAACGGAAAGCGCCCTTAATTACATAAATGACAAAAGAAGGAGTAAAAGCAATTTTCAAATATGTAAGCAAACATCCGGGCTGAAAGTAGATTCTTCGATAAGAGAAAACAACTTTCGGAATTGCTCTTTACTACGACAGCGTTCTTCGCGTCCTCTCTGTCTGTAGCGTACTGATAGAGAAATTTGAAAACGCAGCTTAAGCTAGCTTTATTTCTACGGCTAGGCCTACCGTCCACACTAATCCAGCACGAAAACGAAACTTTTCGAAAACGTGCCTCAAACCGGGGGAATATGAAAACGCCGGCTTTTCGTTTTCGTGTAGACGGAAAACATTTTGAAAACGGAACTTTTAATTTCTAAAACGATGGGTTGACGATGAGAATGTGATTTCCCTGACCGAGTTTTCCTCAAACACAAATCCAAAATAACCGATGATTGCTGCGTTTTCAAATTCCACCGAGCATAGTGTGAACGGAAAACATTTGATACGTTTTCAGAGTGAAACTTCCGTTTTGGGAAATTCATCTGGCGTAGTGTGGACAGAGCCTAACTTCCGCCGATCGTGTCATATACATATGGTCTCTTTGACATCGTCTGGCTGTACCAGACGCAGTCTAATCGCATTTTTCAACTCGAATTACAACCATCATTATTGCTAGTCAGCTTCAGGTTTTTCATTTAAACCTAAATAGTCGAATTGCCAACTTAAGTGTCTTTTTTCTTTTCACGGTGAGACGAAACAACAAAGACAACCGGAACAATAATAACAACAGAGTACAAATGAAAACAAACAAAAACAAACTGACGAAAACAAAAAAACGCCACAAAATATAAACCAGTTATATTTAGCATTTATTTAATTTTCTGTGTATCAATCAATTCATTTGATAATTATTTAACCAAACGATTGTCTGCTATATTTCTTTAGTTGATGGTGGATATAGCAACTGGAATAAATGGAGCGAGTGCTCAGTTTCTTGCGGTGGAGGACAGCGGGCTCGCAGCAGGACATGAGATAACCCGAAACCACAGCATGGCGGAAAAGGTTGCTCAACTATCGGACCCTCAAATCAGACAGAGAAATGCAGTACCAGTGAATGTCCCAGTAAGCGTCTACTTAATTTTGTGCCAATGTAGAATAAATAGTTTCAAGTCAGATCGTGTGTCGAGATCGGATTGCAGTCATCTAATTTTGTCATTGGAGATGCATGTAAAAAAAGTGCCTGTTTACTAGCAGATACACGCTTTGTCTTAGTGCTGTGGAATTGTTTAGGTCAAACATTCTGGTCCATTTTATCCCTGTAATCCTAATTTGGCTATTTCAGTCAAGTGGTTATATCGTGTTCATTTCTCCCGAATTTTACCAAAACTGGACAAAGACAAGCTCAGTTCGCAAGGTTTTTGATCTCAAAGTTTTTGTTATCAATGTAGGAATCATAAGAACTTATATCTCGCAGGATTATTACCTTTGTAATTGAAATGTGCATAATTGTTGGACATTTATGTTTCGAAATTTAATTGCTGTGGCTTTTTTAAAAGCCACAGCAATCGAAATCAAATTGGTCTTCAAGCTATTAAAATAGTTTGAAGACCAATTTGATTTCGATTATGACAAGACCAGGGTTGTTCGTACATGTATGATTTGGAAACACAACTGATATGGAAGAACTCAAAGCAAAGGAAAGAAACCTAAACATATTGACATCATGATTGCTATAATCATGACCAATCCATAGGGCAAAACATCGTATCTTTCAGTCTTTTCTACGACATTCCAGATGATAAACAAAATTGTTTAATCTGACGCGCATATGTCCACTCTAAAGTAAGATTCTTTTTTCCTTCTAGCTCCTTATCTTGAAAGCAGTCAAGTTGATGGGTTTGCACTTCGCCGCGTTGACAGGTCATGATTCAAAACAATTTATAAGATGTTTTCTCTTATCACAGGGGATGGTGGTTATTCTGCATGGGGACCATACAGCAAGTGTTCAAAGTCATGTGGAGGTGGAAAGCAAAGTCGCGAGCGAACTTGCACCAATCCACCACCAAGTGGCGGAGGAAAGGATTGTAAGGAGCTGGGACCAAATACCTCGAGCAGAGAATGCAATAATAAGAAGTGTGCAGGTAAGACGTGCTATTAATGTTGTTTTCAGTATTACAACTCAATAACTGACGTTCTGATTAAGACCCTTTCTGACCTTTTCGGATAGGTTCTGTTTCTAAAAGCTAACTGAAACACTTCAGTTTTGACAACCTGTAATCTTAAAAAGTCGACGGCAAAAAAAGTTTCACTTAGCACAAGAACCGGGCTCGCCTCAAATCAAGTTTATTTTTATGATATTTCTTAATTTTTTATTCAGTTGATGGAGGTTACACTGATTGGGAGAAGTGGACAGACTGTTCCGTCACATGTGNAAATTGTGTAATCTGACGCGCATATGTCCAATCTAAAGTAAGATTCTTTTTTTCTTTCTAGCCCCTCATCTTGAAAGCAGTCAAATTGATGGGTTTGCACTTCGCCGCGTTGACAGGTCATAATCCAAAACAATTTATAAAATGTTTTCTCTTATCACAGGGGATGGTGGTTATTCTGCATGGGGACCATACAGCAAGTGTTCAAAGACATGTGGAGGTGGAATGGAAATTCGCGAGCGAACTTGCACCAATCCACCACCAAGTGGCGGAGGAAAGGATTGTAAGGAGCTGGGACCAAATACCTCGAGCAGAGAATGCAATAATCAGAAGTGTGCAGGTAAGATGTGCTGTTAATGTTGTTTTCAGTATTACAGTGTAATAACTGATGTTCTGATCAGACCTTTTCTGACCTCTTCGGATAGGTTCTGTTTCTAAAAGCTAACTGAAACACTTCAGTTTTGACAACTTGTAATCTTAAAAAGTCGACGGCAAAAAAGTTTCACCTAACACAAGAACTGGGCTCGCCCCAAATCAAGTTTATTTTTAAGATATTTCTTAATTTTTTATTCAGTTGACGGAGGTTACACCAATTGGGAGAAGTGGACAGACTGTTCCGTCACATGTGGAGGAGGACAAAAAGCGCGTCATCGGCAATGCGCCAATCCTGTACCGCAACATGGCGGGAAAGATTGTTCAGATCTCGGACCACCGACTGAGACAAAAGACTGCAATGAAAACGGTTGTCCAGGTTAACATTATATTTGTTGCAGATTTATTGTAGAAGCAACTTAATCTATCGTTTTGTATCTGTGCCAAAGCTTAAGCTGTACACATGACTGCGAT